AAAACTTTATTATGCATTCTATATCTATGTTTTCTCACTCTTTATTCATATCTATGTTTTATCATCTTGATTATAAGTTTTTTTAACACTTTGTCCTATAAAGTCTATAATATTTTGGTGATTTGAAAATCACAATGATAGATAAACTAATTCTGATTCTGTTTCCTTTTTTGAGACATGTTTTTGTGCCTTAAACTTTCTGATATTTTAGTGGAAGACCACTGTTATAAGGAGCTCTATTTTTGTTATTTTTAATTTTATACTTGTCTATATTTTCAGAATATTTTTGACAATAAAAGCATATTTTGATTAATTTATAGGTTGGAGGAATAGAATAGAATATCATGTCATTCACATATTTAAAATTTTCTATTTTTAAAGAACTAAGGTATTGTCAACCAAAAATATGAACAATAATTGAGAAGAGTATATTTGACTCTTTAAATTTGGAAAATTGTATTAATTAAACTTTTAATTATTTTTTCCACAATATTTGTTCACATACAATCTTCTGAAATTTTCTTTCTAATATAATTGGCTGTCTCCTGATTATTTTTTAATATGTCATTTAAGAACTCTATTTTGAGGCTAAACCTTAAAGGAAAAGGTCTTAGACGCTTTCATCCTGTGCTTGCTGATGTAGTGTCTGTGATCTGTCTTAAACTGCTCATGACAGTTGATAAGAAATGTGCTTTTTCATGGTTTGTAGCATAAAAAAAACAAAGAAAATAAGTCGTTAACTATTTTTGAGTAGTACATTAGTGAAAAAACGGTGGTAGGTGCTAGAAATCATAGTGGCTTTCAGGTAGAGTAATAGCAAAAGAACTTCTGATAGTGATTATTCAGTTGTTCCCATTTGTAGGCTATCCTCATTTCTCCTTTGTAATATTTAATCATTGTTTCATTAAGATTAATCAAAGAAGATAGGACATTAGTTTTTTGGGGGGTGGTGGGGGGTGGCTATCAGGATTGAACTCATGGGTAGTCAGCCACTGAGCCACATCCCCAGGGTCTCACTGAGTTGCTTAATGCTTCACTGGTGCTGAGGCTGGCTTTGAACTCTCAATCCTCCTGCCTCAGCCTCCTGAGCTCCTAGGATTACACAATGCTGTGTAGAAAGTTATTTTTGACACCTTATCAACTTCAGGGAAAGGTTCTAGGGAAGAGATTTTGAATATTTAAATAAGATGAGGTTTTTGAATTTTTATTTGTTCTCCATAGTGAAGAATTAGCTATACACTTTTAAATTAGCTTCAGACTATAATTCTCTGACCTGTGACTCTCTCTATGTCAAATGTTCACATACTTTAATTAGTTCTCTACATATGAATCAGAAATAGGGACCTGAATCAAGGAAAGAATCTAGTGAGTTGATAAGTCATGAATGATAAAGAGAAAGTTGGTGACTAACCTTTTATAAATTGTATATCAGTTTGTTTATTAGCTCATTTAGGAGCTTCTTTCAAAGGAATCTAATCCTTCCAGTTTCTGCAGACTGTAGAACATGATTAAAAATAAAAAGAAAATCAGAGTATTCACACGTCATTTCTGCTCTCTTCTAATGATTCAGGCAGCAGCCTCTAGGATTGCTAGAGGCTGAGGAAGTTGGGTTTATGTACCTCCTATCCCACTTATAAACTCATAGCTACAGTGGATCAGGGCAAGAAGAAAGCACATGGTATGGGATTCCTCTTTCTGGTTCATATCTTCTATGAAATACCACAGTCCCTTCTAGAACGAAGCTAATTGTGATATAGACTTCAGTGCTTTTATAACTGAAGGAAATCTCAAGTTCCTCATCTGTAAAATGAATGGGTAAACCAGGTGACTCACTAAGTCCTTTTTAACCCAAATATTATATGAATTCAAGATTATGACTTGGTTTGAAAACAAACTGTTTAGCAGACTCATCCTGATAATCTGTATTTCTATTTTCTCTGTTTTATAAAATTATATAGAACTGCTATGATCTTCTGGTCAGGAAGAAAAGACTAATTGTTCTCTTCAGCCACTGGTTACTTCATGCCTATGGGATAATCTCCATTTCCAGAGTGGATAAGCTTGAGCAAGATCTACCCCTTTTGGCTTTGGTACCTACACCAGCCCTTTTTTACTTGTTCACTTCAAAATTTACAGAACCTTCACGGATACTCTCAGAAGGAGCTAATGGACATTGAATATAAAATGCCAAAAAACCCCAAAAAGTGTTCTTAATAAAGAATAAAGAAATTTAACAAAATGCATTAGAATTATTCTGTCACACATGGGAACAAGATTTTCAGTCTATCTTAATGTTTGTTTTTGTTTGTTTGGTTGGTTGGTTTTGTTTTTGACTTAACAACTCTATGGTTAGACATGGAAAATATGAAATACCATAATACTCTGTTGCATAGTATAATATTATCTACCACACTAGAAGGCTAAACTAAACTTCTAAGGAAGTTTCAGCTATTCTTAGAGCATAATCATGTTTCTGTGTACTTGGTAGCAATGGCCTGTTCACTTTTTAGTAAGAAAAACTTTAATAAGTATAATCAGAAATCCCTAGCAGTGACATAATTGTGCATGCCTGTTGTGTTTCAGTTTGTTTTTCACCTATAATGGGTTACAAAGACAAACATATTTGTATGGTCTGCAGCAAAAGTGGAAATAAAGTATTGTTTTTTGTTATCTATTTATTTTCACCAATACAGTATTTTGATAATACAGAAATAGAGCATAATTTATGTAACAGGTTTTCTGTTTATAATTTGAAGACATGTTCAGATTATTGTTCCTGTAAAGAAAATAATAAAAAGCTTAACTATAAAAAACTCAAATGTTCTGAAATTTGTTTTTTACCACACTAATTACAGAAATAATTAAAATGTTATATAGTAAATTTAGTCTCTTCCCAAATGAATAAGTAATATAGTCACATATTTCTTTTCTTGTATCTTACTATCTTGTTTCTTTATCATCCTGTATATAGCACATACACTTTTTTTGTTGATCCTGAGACACATCTTCTCACATTGTGACATTTCTGAATTAGGATACATCTTACAGCTTCTCAGATTTAATTAAACCCAGAATGTAAATGTTTTTTTCTGTGGTTGGTTTTTGTTAGGTATACAGTGATGTTTATCCGCTGAAGGCTTCAAGAGACTCATGGTCTAAGCCATGGAAGCAAAAATAAAATATTTAGCAATTATAATCTGGCTATGCCCCATTTATATTGTTTAGAAGGTATTCACTGATTCTGCCAGTATGTGGGGGATTAGACTATTTACTTACATCTCAAACTTAGAACACTTTTATTAACAGTTACAAAATATGAAAATAAGTGCACTCACTCCTCCTGTGGTTTTGTTTTTACATTTCAAATTCACAGCAGTTATGTCCTTCAGTTATTTTGAGAAGTACTTCTTTATTAATGCCTTTTCCCTAGGACATTCAGGTGTTGTTTGGAAATGGACTCTCTTTTTGTGCTTTAGTTTCTTCTTTTCTGTAGGAATAAAACATAAAATTTTAAATTCTATTTGCATTTCATATAGGTTTGGTGATTATTAGTGTACATTAAAATCCCGAGTTGTCCAAAGAATCCTCCATTGGAAAAATTATGTAACTGGGTACATGGGGGGCTTACATGAATCTGATTACCAAGACTGTATCTTCAGGTCCCACTATATGTGAGGCCATTTTAACAATCACCTTTTCAGATATCCTGTTCTAACAGAAAAATATCTGTGCAAAAGGAGAAGTCATGCAAGAAATTATTACAAGTCCTCAGAGGCAAAGAATTCATGAATACATAATATCTGTGTTTTAGATTTGCTTTCATAAAACCAAGACAATTGGTATTCAGAGCCACTAAGGTTGCTGATGTTACTAAGTAATTTGGAAAATGTGATCATTGAATACAAAACAAATTTCCTAGCTCAGCTATGTTAAGTTTCAATTTAGGAGTTTATAGCATATTACCTTTCTTACTGCTTAGTGTATGGTAATAATTTTGCAAATCAATTCTGAATACTTAAAAAGTCAAAATATTATATTGATTCATTTGGGTCAATTGATAAATTTAGTAACTGCATTGTTATACATTTGTCTAAATGTATTGGTTTGTAAGACATTGAAACCTCAGGAGAAGTTTTTTAAACTTTTCCCACCTCCAGACATTCATGTTGAATTGGTTTGGGGAGCATCCTGAGCCTGGGATATTTTCAAATTTCCACCTGATTTTAACATTTGAGAATCACTGGTCTAAACTCTTCATTGTTTAATTCCCAATTGTTCCAGAAGACCTTTGACAATTATGGGGCATATGATTTTGTTTTTTCTACCCCCAAATTTGAACCTCCTGTAATTATAAAATTATAAATGGGTTCTTTCCCAGAATTAAACAATCACTAAAAAATAACTGACAGTTATATGATTTTTTTGGTATTTTAATATGTCCTCTTTAAAAAGTCTTCTGGAGAGCATGTATTAAGTTATTTGTTTAATACTCAAATTATCTGTAACTATTTGGCATACTCAAGGGCTTTGGGAATTTTTTTTTAAATTCTTTTTAACACTTTAAAAATAATCTGTTTTAAATCACTATGCATATGACTTAGGTATGTACTAAGAAATAACTTATCTTTTGTTTACAAGAAAGAAAAGCAAAAAGTTACTGGTCTTAGTTCTCAGGAGAAGTCTGGCATTTAGGGATGTGGCAGATGATCCCCCACTCTTTCCAACTGGCACCCCTAGCTGATCCCCATGCAGTCAAGTTACTGGCATTCTTGGCCAGCTCATGTCTATGCTTCTCCTTCTAGAAGACACCCATGTGCTCCCAGCAATACTCAAGAGATTTGCCATCCCATAGGCACATAATAGAAGAGATCCACTCTATTCTAATCATCTCCTGGCTTGTCTGATTTTCACAGGGTGTGCACTTCAAGGTTCAGGGCTGAGTTTTACTCAACTTTGTCACTGCAACATCTGGTCTAGAGCCAGGCTGAGGGCACTCAATACTTTAGTGAAGCCATCACAGTGGTCATAAAGGAGGGCAGGATCTACAGGGCTGCAGTGATATCTTGTGTTCAGACAAGATCAGGAGCGGTTATTGCGCTGGAAGAGAAATCCTTTGCTGGGAGAAGCCATTCAACAGGGAACATTCAAAGGTTAGATTACAGGTGGCTCAGAGATGATCAAGTAATACAAGGTTCAAATTTTATTCTTACCTTCCCCAGGAAGGTGGTAGATTTCAGGGATATAATGAGTAATTTATGGGTTTGATGTTTTAAAACTCCTGTTAATTATCACCAAATTATTTTATTACTGGGGACACGGAGGAGCAGAAGTTAAATTAAGAAGCAGAACTGAGATTCAAACCTACACCTTCCTGCCCCCAACCCTACACACCAGTGCCTCAGAAGCAGAGCTACATAGATCTATGGGAAGCCAGAAACTGCCTTCAGATCTCAGCTCCATCTCCAGTTTCTCAAAAGAGATCTTTCTCTTGATTCCTCAACCAGGTTTTCTCACTCCTAGGTTCTTTCATACTTCTGCCCCACCTTCAGTACCCTCGGGATTTTATATGTATCTTTACCATACCTGATGCTCCCACTGTACCAAGGTGGGCAAGTTACATCTTAAGGGTAATTTTGCTACAGTGGTAGAGATAAGCCATTGCTACAGAGATCTCATGGCTGGCAAAACCAAAAAAATATTTATTATCTGGCCTTTTACAGGAAAAGTTTGTCAACCTCTGTAGTGGACTGTGAGTTCCATTTAGGTAGGGATTGTATTTGTTTATTTCACCATTGTAAACAAGATGTCTTAATGGTGCTTGGCATACAACAGGCCTCCATAAATACTTGTAAATATAGTTTAGCAACAGTAGTAACCTGTGATGTGAAAACTAAAAAACAGGAGAATTTTCAAGCATTTCTATATCCAATTATCAACATTTTATTGACTACAAATAATATTGAATTTTAAATCGAAATTCTGCCAGTCAATAACCTATTGACTAAAAATATATTTTCAATATATTTTTTTCATAAAACTGACATTCTTTTCACTTTCAGTGAAAATTTTATTTTACCTGGATGGGTCATTGTTTAACAGTTTGCTCACCATTGTGTGGCTTAGAACAAAGAAGTCAGCCTTTATTTTCCCCTTCTCAGCCTATGTGATCCTTAGGGCTCACCAGCAGAGCTCACTGTGACCCTCTCTGAATAACAAGGGGTTGGCAACTTTTTCCTATTCAGTGCCAAATAGTGAATATTTTAGGCTTGTTGGGACACACAGCCTTTCTCAGGGAGTGTGGCTATGTGTCTATAAAATGTATGGACACAGAAATTTGAATTTAATGTAGTTTTATGATGTCATGAAACATTATCATTCTTTTGGGTTCTTCCAATCATTTAAAGGTCTAAAACCCACTCTTAGTTCTGGGCCCTATGAAAATAGGAGAAGGGCTGGTTTGGTCCCAGGCTATAGTATACTAACCCCTGTAGCAGACAATAGACTTGCCCAGGAATCTTCACAACATTCTTGACATCTAGAAAATGGGAAGCAACTGAGAATATGGGGAGGAGTTCAAAGCTAAATATCTCCAAGCTTTAATTTTGCTAGTTTTAGCAGTCTTAAATCTTACCTCAATGTCTGGGGTTTGGTGACGCTAATGTCAACTTGAAGACACATTTTGATTATGAGATATTCAGGTCATTGATATCTAAATTCTTTTGTCCTTCCATCTACGTCATGTGTCCAAAGTTATATATATATATATAT